CTTCAAAATCTTCTTTTGTTAATAACTGGATAGAATCTTTGCCACTTCGAGAAAGAAATGAAAAATGTCAGATAATGATCACAAAATAAGACACGTCAATGTATTAATAAAGACCTTCCAGATTTTTTCGGTCAACCCTGGGACTGGATAAATTTTATCACGCAATTTAAAGAAACGACTGAAATATGTGGATTTACAAATTCAGAAAATATGTCCCGTCTAAGGAAGTGCCTAAAAGGAAAAGCTAGAGACTGTATTAATGCCCTTTTAAGCGTCACCCAAGATGTGGATAAAATTATAAAAACATTAGAAAAAAATTTTGGAAGACCGCAAGTAATTATCCAATATTTAATTGAAACTGTTACAAAAATACCAAACATAAGAGACGATAGAATTGAAATAATAGTAGACTTCTCAAATAAAGTACAAAATCTCTCGGTGACCATTACTAGCCTTAAAAGGTATGAATATTTATCAAATCCTCAGCTTATTACTGACCTGTCAAAAAAACTCAATTCTACACTAAAGATGGAATGGGAAAGGAAAATTGTACAGTTTAAACGACAAGAAAAATCTATAACAGTCAACGAATTTGCTATGTCGCTTGAAGAATATAGCGAAGCAGCCATGTACGTGTCACAGTGTGACCCAGACCACCACCAAAAAAAGAAATATGTATATACTGCCTCAACATCAAATGAAAAACAAATTGATAACAATAAAATTACTTATAAGTGCAAATTTTGCAGACAAGAAGGTCATAAGGTAGAAAAATGCGGATAATTTAAGAAGATTGATCTAGATAAACGTTGGGAATGAGTCAGAGCAAAGAAAATTTGCTTCAGCTGTTTGACTTCTTCACATCAAACAAGGCAATGCCGAAACAAGAAAAGTTGTCCCGTAGAAGGTTGCACATTCACATATCATCAAATACTGCACAAACATATCTCTCGAGAAAACGTTCCAAACCAAGGAGTTAACTATCATATAGCCACAGAGGAAGAAACTAATCTGTGTAAATTATAAAAGGCATGACATCCTGCTTCGAATTGTTCCTGTAGAACTCAGAGGTCCGAATGAGAAAATCAACACCTATGCTCATCTAGATGAAGGATCTACTATTACCATGATAGATTCTTCGATTGCAGACGCCATTGGTGCTTTAGGTCCTCAAGATCCGCTAACAGTTCGATGGACAAATTCCATTATTAATGAGCGAAAATCTCAAAGAATATCACTGTGTATAAGAGGTCAAAGCAAGAACACTTCATATCGACTACAAAACGTTAGAACCATTAGAAATCTTTCTCTTTCTGTTCAGTTAGTAAATATTCGACATCTTTGCCAAAAATGGGATTACTTACTAAAAAATGTAACTTCAAAACGATCCAAACCAAGAAGTTAACTATCATATAGTCACAGAGGAAGAAACTAATCTATGTGTAAATTATAAAAGGCATGAAATCCTGCTTCGAATTGTTCCTGTAGAACTTAGAGATTCGAATGGGAAAATAAACACCTATGCTCTTCTAGATGAAGGATCTACTATTACCATGATAGATTCTTCGATTGCAGACGCCATTGGTGCTTTAGGTCCTCAAGATTCGCTAACAGTTCGACAGACAAATTCCATTATTAATCAGCGAAAATCTCAAAGAATATCACTGTGTATAAGAGGTCAAAGCAAGAACACTTCATATCGACTACAAAACGTTAGAACCATTAGAAATCTTTCTCTTTCTGTTCAGTTAGTAAATATTCGACATCTTTGCCAAAAATGGGATTACTTACTAAAAAATTTAACTTCAAAACGATCCAAACCAAGAAGGTAACTATCATATAGTCACAGAGGAAGAAACTAATCTATGTGTAAATTATAAAAGGCATGACATCTTGCTTCGAATTGTTCCTGTAGAACTTAGAGATCCGAATGGGAAAATAAACACCTATGCTCTTCTAGATGAAGGATCTACTATTACCATGATAGATTCTTCGATTGCAGACGCCATTGGTGCTTTAGGTCCTCAAGATCCGCTAACAGTTCGAGAACACTTCATATCGACTACAAAACGTTAGAACCATTAGAAATCATCTCTACCTGACGTGACAAAATTCTCATCGTGGCTAAAATTAATTCGTGCAACAGCTTGGATTATAAGGATTATTGAGACATTAATGAAAAAACTTAATAAAAGGGGAGAACTGACCTGTAGTGAGCTCGATAATGCCGAAAAATTGTGGATAAAAAGTGTTTGTTTGTTTCTTATGTTACAGATTCCTATTCACGAAAACGCAAAGGTTTGTCAGGTTAGCCGACTGAAACCACTCAAAATATTGAAAGTTCCATTTATCTTTGAATGGTTTGCATTCGCTGTCTTTTTTTGCAACCCTCAATACTAGTGAATCGCACACAAAAATAACAAGTCAAATCAAAATACTGTTACTTAAGGGCGTTGATCGATTCGAAGATATCTTTTAAACGAGCTTACGTACTACTTTATTTTACAACAGATAGTTTGGCTTCCTTCACCTTCTCTAGACAGACTAACTCGTGGTTGCACCGCTAGCCTTTTTATACTCCAATTACTGCTATCTCGAAGTGAGTGAAATACACTATGTAGAACTTTTTCAATCCACTGGTTATTTACGAATGTTTAATACGCTAGTCACATACTGTGATTATCAAAGTATGTGGAGCTAGTTTAGTGTGATGTCATTTTGGTTCCACTGACATTTAATTCTAACCAAACTTTTAACAAAAACATCAATAAATTTGACATATACGTTTTTAATGATTTTATTTTATTTCAAAATATTGTTTACAGGTCATAAAAAATAGTTTAAAGGTATGTAATTGGTAACTAAACGATTGTATATTTGATACATTTTATCTACTTACTTTAGGAATATATTTATAAAAGTGAAAAAAACGATATAATTTAGGTAAACAAAATGAACAAAACGCACTCAAAAAATCTACTGTCACTTTAATTGTCAGTGGAACCATAATTACATCATCACTGAACTAGCGCATTGTTACTGCGATTTCGAAAGTACCTAGCGCTATCTGTTAGTGATGAAGGGTACTACCACTACGTATTTCCGCTTTTGACCACCAGATATCGTCAAGTGTCACGGTCGTAACAATACACAATAGTAACCACAGACCTTTTATATATTGTTTATAGACAGTACACTCAATGTATAATTTTCGTAGCTGATTTCAGCGCCCTCACAGTGGTGGGGGTTTAAACTAAACGATGGCGGCAATTTTTGAATGTCTGAATAATTTTTTGGAAGCACGCTTTGAAAGTGGTTATTATGTGTGTCATTAAAGTTGAGATTTGATTACAATAAGCAAACAAATCGTAACTATAATGGTTTAATCATGTTTTGGTGCTACATTTTTTTATGAAATGAAACCATTTATTATATTTATAACGATTTATTTATAAAATGTATAAATTTCGGGTATTATTTTAACTAAAACTAAAAATAGCTAAAAATAAGGTAATAATAATAGGTACATGCAAAATATTAAGATAAAATAAAAAAGATTCAAGTGTTTTCATTTTTTTAGTTTTATCTGGTTTTTCTTATTTCTTATATTATAGGTATCTTGTGTTAGCAAGAAGACGTATTTTACCATTAAAATAATGTAACAACTTGGAACCGGGAACACTTACACTTTACAATAATGACTGAAAGTTTATCCATTATCTCAAATGTAATGTGGTCACATTAATCCTTCCTCCATGTGATCACTGACCAATGTAAGCCGAAACTAATCGCGACACTGCCTATTAAATAAACTTTATGCTGTGGTATTAATTTTGTGCTTTATTTCCATTTCACTATTGACTTTCTGTTTTATTTCCATTTTATTATTTAACAATCAGTTCAAAAACAAACAAATCACTCACAACATTCATAAAAATAATAAAGAAATAAGAAATATTTGTGGTTATGTAGGTATCAAGTACACAAAGTAGGCAGTGTTGTCACGGTCAAATGGTGATAATTCTCATCACTTACCCCGAACGCCTGAAGTCACCAATAAATGCAATAGTGACGATGAAAATATTTTAAAACATGACTTTTCAGCAATAGTACATACTACTAAATGAAAAACGGCAAAAACGCTATAATCTTGCATTAATAAATTATAAATCAATTCATAAAAGTTCATTAGTTAATTAAGAATACCCAAAAATCGGGTAAAATTATTGCTATTGGCAACGCTGCACAAGCGTGTCCTATAAACGGTGACGGTGGCGACCTCACGACGGCGGGGGTATGAAACTTAACACGCATTGGCCTTGACGGTAAGAGTGGATACACTGTGATAGTAACTCAACTACCGAACTTAGCAAGCGTATGCTTGATCAGGGCGCGTAATGGGCGACTAGTCTAAAAATTATAGATAATTACAGAAAAAATAAAACGGTTTTGGTCTTTAAAACTTACTGGAGTAATCAGTATAGTCCTAAGGCTGGAAATTTTGAGGACCCCTGCTTTAAACAATACTCTTTATGAATTTGTCGTTCGTCATTATTTATCTTTAGGATCTCGTGACAAAACATTTATATTGTTACAAGTGTTGTCTTGAAGTTGTGCTGAAAGTATCCAGTCTTATTTCTCAATATTTACAGTCATTACGTCAAGTTGTTGATCAGTGGGTACAGTAGTACTTCGGCTCAGACCGTCTACCTGACATTATGATTATTTTTAAATACCTTATTATTCGGATCTCGTTTATTTTATTAGCAAACAATTTAGCATGGATTTGGGACTCGGTATCACCAACATAAAAAGTTGATTAAAAATTCCTATAAAATTGACATCGCTGGTTTTTACCATTACCCTTCAAATGAAAAATGTTTGACTTGTTCGCCTTCTCTTGTTATAATCCGACGATATAGCATAATATGTTTTAAATATAGCATACAAACATAAGATACTTAATAAACAAAATTTTCTTTAAACAATTTTTATTTTAGACGACGTTTAATAAAACATATGGACAATCCAAAGAAGAAATCAAGCGTTATTCAATTTTCCAAAATAATCTCAGGAAAATTGAAGATCACAATAAAAAATTTTTGAATGGAGAAACCACGTGGGAAATGGGTATCACCAGATTCGCTGATTGGAGCGAAGAAGAATTTTTCAAACATGGTAAAGGATTAAACTCTAAAAAAATCATCAAGGCTTCTTCTAAGGCGGTTACAGATATTGTAGATGAATGGGGTTTCTGTATTCAACTCAGGGTAAGTCAATGTTTATTGATGACTTTTTTATTATTATTAAAATATTTAAATTTTGTAATTGTGTTTTTTGTCTCTAATTCTTCAACTTGTCTCAAAGTCTTTTAGTTACAGGAAATACTGCATATTTTTTCAATTTATCAAAATAATTATTTAATCTAATCTACTATAAAAACAATATGCTTAAAATTTACAAATTTACCTTTTTTTATATGATTTTTTAGGATGAGATTAATGAACCAAAAAGAAATATTAAACTTGCTGATGACGAATATGATTATGATGACAGTCTTGTTGATTTTCCAGAGTCAGTTGACTGGAGAACAAAAGGTTTTGTACTACCACCTAGGGATATGGGTGAACGTGAAGAACATTATGCCTATTCAATAGTAAGTTCTTATTATACTTTCCGAATTCAAAGTTATAAAAGCCATGCGGATTTTAGAAGAAGAAAATATTAAAATTAATTTAAAACCTTGTTATTTTAGGCCGCAGCCTTAGAATCCCGTAGAGCAGATCAAAACGGCATCTTGGAGTACTTGAGTCCACAATTTTTAATAGACTGTAGTCCAGGCAATTCGTTCGGCAGTACTTTTACATTAATCTTTCACAAAGGTATTCCGCAAGAAGATCGTTATCCACTTATAGAAGGAAAAGGAGAATGTAAATATTTAAATGATACCAGTTGTATAGCATACTCGTACGTACATCCAGAAGAAACAGTAGGAACAATCGTAAGAGGTAAAAATTCACAAGAATTAGTTCTTTAAAGAATTTATTAGAAACTTCTTTTAACTTACTACTAGAGTATTATCTCGAGTATTTTTGTAATTTTAATTTTTATCAGGTTACAACCCATTAGCAGCTGAGATAGACGGAGGAGACTTGCAACTATACAAGTCTGGAATCATAGATGATTCGAACTGCAAAAATGGGATACGAAAAGACTGGAGTGCTGTGATTGTAGGTACAGGAGTTGAAAATGGAACCCCCTACTGGATCTTCAAAAATTCTTGGGGGACGTCTTGGGGAGAAGAGGGTTACTTCAGATTAATCAGAAAGAAGGAAGCTTGTGGGGTATCAAGTAATGCTTGTGCCGCAGATATTGTTGATCCATGGATTTAGTATTCAGTCACTAACACTAACGTAATGATTTAATAAAAAATTGCTTTATTATAACAAAAAGTTTTATTTTTATAAATTTTATGATGTGTCGCTACAATTTACAAGCACACTAGACAAATTGATTATGCAAATGGATACAGATTAAATCGATATTTTAACTTATTAATAAATTTATTTTGAAAAGGAAGATAACTTCTTTATTTAGAATTATATAAACAAAAGATGATATCTTAAACATTTTCTCCAAAATAATTGATAAAAAATTTTGTGTAAAAAATTCAACTAATATTTAATCATAAAAAGATAGCGATAATGACAACAATATATAGGTTTATCTTGAAAATTGGATAAATTGTTAGGTAAATATATTATATACAGGTTATTTACTAACCATACAGCACACATTTAAGGGAATATTCTTTCGAACAAAATAAGAAAAATGTTCTTACATGCAAATATATGATACTGTCGCGCGAGCCATTTCCAACCAGTCTGGTCCTGATCTTTGTTTACGTTATCGCCGCCCACCTGTATTCTGTTTGTCTTAATTGACTGTATATATTTTAATGGAAAAAATGTATGTCCAAGTATTAAAATAATAACAATAATAATAGTATTAAAATGAAAAATTTGTAATAATTTACAGCAGCCGGTCAGTAAATTTTAAGAACATTGGAAAATTAAATTAGTGTAATGCAATAAGAATATTTATTTAAAAGCTATTAAGAAGTTTAAAAAAGATGGAAAATCCATAATCCAAACTGCAGAAAATGGTAATAGTCCATGAATAAGATTGTACAAAACAGAAAAATGGATCACAAAATCTTAAAAAAAATACTAGCAGAAAATAAAAACCAGCAAGCAACAACTAAAAAACCTGATTGAGGTAAGTAAAAAATTTCAAACCCTGAAACACATCATTATTTATTTATTATAATTTGCTACCTTTAAAAACATCGACATCCCTCTAAAAACTTTCACCCCCAATTCCCCTCCTAAAAATATAAAAATCCAAAAACCCTAAAATACGTCATTATTTATTTATGAGAGTAGCTACATTCCAATTTTCAAGATCTTACCTTTAGAAAATTCAACGCTTGCATCAAAATTACTCCCCCCCCCCTTAAAATGTGATGTTTATAAAATCTGTTCTTAGTGGATGTCTACGCCGAGAAAGGACTAACTATGCCAAATTTCAAGTCAATCGGGCTTAGAGTTATGGAGATCTGGTGATAAGTCAGTGAGTGGTATTTTGCTTTTATAAACGAGTATACATAGTCCCCTTTTAGAGTAATACATTTGAACCAACGATGTTCAAGCGCCAAAATAGGCGATTGTGGCTGCAACTACTTCTAAATCCGTGGAAATTTTTTTGCCAGCAAGAAATTTTGGTTAGTTTGGAAACAAATAAAAGTCTGACGGGGCCAGGTCTGGCGAATACAGAGGATGGTTTAACAGTTCAAAGCCTAGCTGATGAATTTTAGCCATTACAAGAACGGACTTGTGGCAAGGTGCATTGTCCTGATGAAACAGAATTTTCTTTTTTGTTAAACCAGGGCGTTTTTCGCTTATATTCTGCTTAAGCTGGTCCAGTAAGTTGCTGTAGTACTCGGAATTTATTGGAATTTATTGTTCTTCTCTTTTCGAGATAATCTATTAGGAGTATACCTTTAGCATTCCAAAAGACCGTTGCCATTACCTTTTCAGCAGACGGTACTACTGCCTTTGCCTTCTTTGGAACTGATTCGTCCTTAGCCGTCCACTGTTTGGACTGTTGTTTAGTTTCAGGGGTATAATGATAAACCCATGTTTCATCACCCGTAATAAATCTACACAAAAAGTCCCCTGGATCACGTCTAAATAGTGCCAAATTCTCCTCTGAAATGATTAGCCGCGTGAGCTTCTGATCTAACATGAGCAAACGCGGCACCCATCGGGCGGATAGCTTTCTTATACTTAAAACTTCACAAAAAATATAGTGAACTCGCTCTTTTAATATGTCCACAGCCTCAGCTACCTCTTCCAATTTTAATTTGCGATCTTTTAAAATTAGTTTGTGAACGGTTTGCACCATTTCTTCAGAAGTTGCCGTTTTTGGCCTGCCAGAACGCGGAGCATCATCAGTGCTAGTACGACCATGTTTAAAGTCCGCTACCTAGGTTTTAACTGTGGTAAATGAAGGAACGGATTCCCTTAGTGCAGCATCTGGTTCAGATTTTATTTCCGTCGGCGATAATCCTTTGATATGGAAATATTTTATCACCGCTCTTATCTCGTTTTTTCCCATCTTTTAAAAGTGGCGCACCTTATACGCTTTTAAAATACCCAGGACACAGACTACTTGACGCACTCACTTTAAACTTCGAGAGTATACTGACGACTGACGACTGACGACAAGCAAGGCTACACAGACACGTTGGAATAGGAAAGCAAATCGGGCCTACTATAGGTTAGGCCGGAAACATTTCATCCCATCCTCATATATTAAAGTTCTTTTGGTTTTAAAAAAGCGAACTATTTTGTCGTGTATTGTGTTTGAAGTATTAATAATAAACAGAAACTATAGACTATAGTGAGATGCTATCATATTAAAACAAACGAATTCTAGAATATATAACGCTTTTTAATGATAACTTAAGACTCTCTATAGTGAGATGCTGTCATATTATGACAAGTTCTAGAATATGTAACGCTGTATGCATTAAGACCCAAAGAGTTCTAGCTTCTAGCACTTTTTAAATAATTTTAAGTAATAATAATAAACAAAAGTTATAAACTATGCTGTGAGATGCTGTCATATTATGACGCTTCTAAATAATAACTATAGTCTCGTTTCATTCAGAACCAAAGAGTTACTTTTTAAATAATTATAAGTATTATAACTAATAATAATAAACAGTAATTGTGAGAGGGAGTGAGATAGTGTCATACTATGAGGAGTTCTAGAAAATGTAACGATTCTAAATGATAACTACGGTATCTCTGGAGTGAAACTACAAGAGTTCTAGCCTTTAGCACTTATTGACTAATTTTAAGTATTAATAATGAACATAAATTGAAGACCCTGCTGCAAAAAAGGTATCTGCATTTTTTGGTCAAAATAACTCATCTGCTATTGTAATAAACCCAAGAAGTAGTCCTTTATGGTTTGGCTCAACAACGAGAGTTCTAACGGGAACATTTGTGTGGGGGGGAAGACCTGATCACATACATCCTTTTTTATTTGGTGCAATATGGATGTACCTGTAACATATACATCCATTTTGCACCAAACGAAAAATGTATTCTATTTTGACATACAGTTACCTAACCTAAAAAATCATTATTATTGTTTTCACGTCACGTGCATTTTGCTAGTAAAAATAAGTGATTCAGATAGTGAAGAAGAGCCATTTAGTAGTGGTTCTAGTATGAACCATCATCAAGTGAAAGTGAAGGTAGTGCTAATAAAGCTGTTCCTGCGGTAAAAAAACAAAAAAAAAACAAAAAAACAAAAAAAAAAAAAGAAACGACAATAAGTGGAAAAGAAATGTACGAAAGCGAATGCTTGCAGAAGAAAAAGAACATATAAACTCAAGAAATAGACTAAGATGTGCAAGAAAAACAGGGAATAACTGCTCCTCTAAATATAAATGTTTCGAAAAGATATCAGAAGAAAGTCGTGATGTAATAATCAAAAATTTTAACGAAATTGGTGATAAAGAGAAGCAGAATATTTACTTATGCGGGCTTATTAAACGAATACTGATAAACCTGAATAGGAGCTTGGGTACCAGAAAAAAAAGTTTCTCTGAATACATAGTAAGTTTACTATTGTATTTTACAGCGTCTAAAACGTTAAAGCGTTAAAATTTTCATATTTAAAATTCATACAATTCATTTTTACCTATCGAACATCACAATTCGATCCTGTTATTGTTTAATTTCTTACAATAAGGAATTTACAACTCTAACTGATCATCTGAATGCAGGTCTTTTTATAAAACAATGTTCGAACACGAATTCCGCATTACTTTTTCCACCCGCCTTCGTAATCCGTGCGTGGCATCATGGAAAAATCATGAAGAGAAAGTCCCTTTCGGGGGCCCCGAATAAGCTCTCCTATCTGCTATTCATTTCTCGAAATACCCTCTCCCGAAATTCAATCGGTTCGGCTCATTCCCGACTAGTAAAAACAAGCAAGCGACTATAAATCTTTGCAAACGCAGAAAAAAAAACGAGAGGCAAAAAAAGGATAATTCAAGATGGAGCGCAAACAAATTATCCTGGAAGTTTCGGGCAACGAAACGGGTATTTCTGTCTCGAATTTAGTGTAGGTAGACTGTGATTTAGTAAATAGGGTTTTTCTTTCTTGTAAAGTTAATTAAATATACCGTAGGTTTATCTTCTATAAGAAGCATGTATTAAAAAATTATTATCTACTGTAAGAGTCTCTTTTAGACTTAAATAAAAGAAGACTAATGTTAAGTCATGTGTCAGTTGTTAATTGTCAATAATTTTGTTCTGTGATATGTTGATATGTTCTTGTTCCCAAAAATTAAATAAAACTAGTTTAAGAATACCTACAATTAATCTTAACAAATTATTCGACGATCCAAAGAACGATGCTTACAAATCAGAAGTTGGATGTTACTCACTATATACTTTAATAAATACGGATACTGATTCCAAAATATGTTATTTCATGTTCTGTGAAGTTATGTTGGAGATTGAGCATGCCTACTACACATATTTTTTGAATATTACTATCCAGATTTTATAAAAAATAGTGTCATGAAATTCCTAAGCCGAACCTGTCTAAAGCAAGCGACCTTAAGCTTGGCACCCGACTCATGCTCGAAACGTCGGAATCTTCTAGGAATGCCGCTGATGTTTGAGAAACGGGCGAAGTGTGCCGTTGAGTCAGAGATGGAATTTTCGGAAGCCTCTGGAGACTTCTCGTAGCAGAGTTGGACTTGGTATGAATAGCCCTATTTATCGGCGGACAGTTTAGTTAAGTAAAAAGTATTG